AATAAAAGGAAAATTTCGAAAATTATTTTTTTAATTATTATTGTTGTCATTTTCTTTACCTAAAAAAATAAAAATAAATAAAAAAATACCATTTTTTGAAAAATACCTTAAATATTCTAATAGAATATTACACTGTAAATATTCCAATGTGATTTTTAGAATGTTAGAATATTCAAGTATTTTAGTAAATTTGTTACAAATGTAAAATATTTTAATATTCTACTTGAATATTGTAATATTTTACTAGAATATTTGAAAAAAAAAACGGTAATTTTTTTAATTTTTTAGATAAAAAAGTAATGAAAATAATATTTTTAATTTTTTTTCGAAAATTTTCAATTATTTTGTCTTTTAAAAATGTTTTTTTATCTACAAAGTTAATTGCTAGAATTATATCTCCCCGTTTAACAAAATATAGTGATCTCATATGAATCTTGCCCCATATATATGTTCAGATGGGTACCTATCAGGTAGCGGTTCCGTAAAAACGAAAACCGGAACCATAATTGGAACTGATTAAGGCGGTTCATATTCTGAAACCGACAATTCCAAGACGGTTTCGGTTCTGATAACGGGTATCTAGTTCCGATGATCATCCCAACTATTGTGGCATATTGTATGACGCGAAATGATATGAACCTCTAATTTATGGAGGTTGAATAAACATGATTTTGAATGGAATTTGAAAAGAAAACAAACAATGATTTTGTGAAACACACACAAAACGCCTTTCTTTAGGGAAATCCCAACAAACGCATCATTTGTGGTCAACAAACGCATCATTTGTGGTCATTTTCGATCCAACCCTCTTGTATTTGAATTTTGAATGAATAATCATCCATAACATTTGGTGGGCCGTTATTCATATTATTGGATTTTCATATCTAACATAAAAAAAAACATATCTAACATAAATAAATAAAAACAAAATTGCAAAAATGGATCTTGTGGTATGCATTTTTTTGGGGTTTTAATCCAAACCACGATGTTTTTAGATTGATGGTCCTTTTGAGGTGGTTTGCTTGTGATTTTAATCCCTCCATAAATTGAAATGGTGTAATGCCCTTCTGATTTATTTTTTATGTTTTTTCTATTTAATTTAAATGAAAAAGAAAATAAATATTAAAGTTGGGCCCTCTCTCTCTCTCCCCGTCATCACATATTCTTCATCTGTACACATTTCGACAGTTGCAAAAATAACACCATATGCAAATGGAGCAACTTCTAGGGTTCTAACAGATTCAGATCTTCATAATCAACGACAACAGCAACATCAACATTAATTGCAACAACAGGGGCAGGGGCAACAAACTATGAACTCTGGTTTGATGCGATAAAGATCAACACCAAGTTCGTATTTCTCAAATTTGATAAGCAGTGACATGTATGAAGACCAAGACGCTGACCTATTCTTCAACCCTCGGGCATAATACCCCGAAACGGAACGCATTTTATCGAGATTCATCTCCGGGGATGGTGATAATTCAAGCTCTCATCTGAATATAGGTCAAATTCGGGGAAATGACCCCCCCCCCCCCCCCCCCCCAATAAAGCAAGAACGAGCGAGATCCATGGATCAATTTGGAACTGATGATGGCAGTGTACCAGATTTATCAAAGGGGTTTGAAAATCGAATGGCTTTCTCATCATTTTCACATTCATCTTTGATACCATTGTCTCTTATCCCTGAAAACGAAGGCAAAACCATGGGAATGAGTGGTGCTTGTGTACACAACAATGGATGTTTTGGTCAAGCTCATCCAAGAGCTACTGGCTCTAGTTCTTACAGAGCTTGGAGAAAGCGATCAAAGACACGCCCTTCTAGGAGAGAGAGAGAGAGAGAGAGAAAGAGAGAGAGAGAGGAAGAGGAGGTGGGCCAACTTTATTATTTATTTTCTTTTTCATTTGAATTAAATGGAAAAAACATAAAAAAAATAAATTAGAAGGGCATTATAGTCATTTCAATTTACCGAGAGACCAAAATCACAAGTGAACCATCTCAAAAGGACCACCAATCCAAAAAAGTAATTGTTTGGACTAAAACGCCAAAAAAATGCATACAACAGGGATCATTTTTACAATTTTATCTTAAATAAATAAATAAATAAATAAGTCATTGGATAGCGTTATGTTTTAATAGGAGAATTTTGTATATATTTTTTGTTGAGTACTAAAATATAAAAAGTTTTTGTATATATCTTTATTAAATATTAAAATATCATATTTGTTAAATTTAATTTATAAATATCATGTTTATCATGCATATAATTTTAAAATACCGTATATGTCATTTTTAAATATCAAAATATTGTATATATCTTTAAATATCAAAATATCAATGATAATATCTAAAATATCATGAATATCTCGTTCTTAAATATCACAATATCAATGATAATATCTAAAATATCATCTATTTACAACATGACAATATTCAACAACAACAAATATTTAGAGGTAGACGTTCCATCGTTACAAACATAAGAATAATATGGTTAAAACTTTTAATTATTATAATATTAAAAATCATTATACAGTATTAAAAACATTGTAAATAAAGATTTAGACAAATATAATATTTTGAAAGTTTATAAAAGGTAAATATAATATTAATAAATTAAATTTGATAAATATGATATTTTAATGTTTAAGGATATATATGAAATCCTCGATTTAAAATTGTTAGAATTTTGCGGTAATAAAGACACTTAGATAATCTAAGAATTGTGATTTCACTTTTAAATCAAAGTATTTGGGTGATACTTTTTAATCTTTGATTATATAAGATTTAGAACAAAAAATGAGGAGTATCAATTTCGTGAGTACCAAAAACTTGACCAAAAATCGATTAAATACATCCTTTGTATAAAAACTGTTACAAAACAGTTTCATGTATAAAAACCACTGTTGTAAAAATCCTGATTAGATCTCGATTAATCTCCGATTAATCCCTAGGCTCTACTCGACCGACTAGAAGGCGCCTAGCGATTAATCCCTGCATACATAATAAATTAAACCGTATAAAACGATAAAATTTTCACATGTTGAAGAATTTTTATCTCAATGGAAACTATTTCAGGCATTGATTACTGTGTATTAATCATATTAACCAATTTTGTTACGATATTAGTGGTACTTACGAACTTTGATATAATATTACTCATATTTAATTTTTTAAAATACAATAAATTATCAATTAATAGTCCCCGATTAATCCACCGTTTAATCTCCGCCTAACCGATTAATCCCTTAACCCCAGTCCACCAACTAGCTAACGTCGAACGTTTTTTACAACCTTGATAAAAACTGTCAAAATTGTTATAAACAGTTTTTGCAACAAACAAAGACCGTCATAAATCCGGGGTTTTTATAATGAGTAATGCAAACCCAAAAACGGGTCAGCTCGATTCCAGCCAAGGGCTCTGCCCCTTGGACCCCGCTCCTAGAGGCGCTGCCCCCGGACCTCCGTTCGTTCACGGGCTTCACCCTAAATGACAATCTACTTTTAATTTGAATAAAATTAAACAAGTGTACACTCTGCAGTCTGCATCTTCCTTACTTATTTTATATTCATCAAGTTTGATTTTGATCAACATTTCAACTCATTATACTTAAATACAATTAATAAAATAAATCACCAACAAAAATAACATATTTGAACGGTTTAAATTTTAAATATCATATTTATCTTTTTTAAATTTTAAAATATGGTATTTGTCAAAACTTATTTTTTAAACTCTTTTAATCTGTTTTTTTTAATATATATTTTTAATCATCTTAATTTATCGTAAAAACCTAATTGATGAAATTGCTATTTAATTTTAAAACTCTTTTGCCATACAGTGGATTAACCGAATTACCCCTAGCTAGTTATTCTCCCTAGCCTCCTCTTCTCACCTTCGTCTCACATATGTTCAAGTTCTCTCCGCTTCCTAAACTAACCATTCTTGAACTTCATCACCACAACATCCCTATAACGCTCATAAAAACACTTAAAATTGTTCTTAATTCACCATATCCTCCCATTACCCAGAACAAACACAAAGCTTTCATAACTCCGAATACCATTAAAATTGAAGGATAGTTTGATCAATTAGCATTTTTGATAAATTAAAAGGACTATAAAATATAAAAACTGATTAAAAGAGTTTAAAAAATGTTTAAAAACTAAATTTGAGCAATACGATAGTTTAAAAGATAAAAAAAAAACAAGTATGATATTTAGATTTTTGGTTAGGCAATTAACAAAGATATATACTAAATTCTCCAAAGATATATATGAAATAATAAATCGTTTTATTTAACTAGAAATATGCGAAAATCTGAATCACTTTTTTAACTTTTTTACGTGGGAGTTTGGAAATTTTTCGCGCACCCTCACCACCCATCCAGATTTGTTTTTATAGCTTGTAAAGTACTAAAGTCTAATGGATGTCTGAAAAATATTATCGCGAAAAAAAGAAAATGAAAGCAAATAGGTAATGGTGTGAAACACACCAAAAGGCTTTTTACCCCATTCTTCTAAAACCATTCACGATAGTTTCATAAAGACCCTTCGCCTTTAATTTCGTCCAGTTTTTAGTCGGAGTTTCTTGCTTGTTACATTTGACAGTTTTAAGCCAAACAAACAACAAGTATTATATCCATTAAATTCTGTCTTTTCTTTTTTTTTTTTTTTAGTTTTACTCTTGTAAAAATAATCCTCTACGGTTTGTTGAAGTTTTCCTACGCAGTGTCCTTTTGAGTTGCAGTGCCAGTATTTCAAAAGAAAAAAAAAAAAAGAGAAGCGAGAGTGAGTTTTGCTAGGAAATACTTGTAAGCACGTTATGCATAAGCTACAGCGTTGAAATCCTTGTTCAGGGCCCCCGATCATGTGCCTCCATCTACTATATTACCCCCCTCCTTTTCTCCTTATCCCTCCAGGGTTTAAGCAAAAAGCACCAAACGCCTACATTCTCTAAGCTTTAAACAACACATTCCCTATTCATTTTCCTCCCATAATGACTCCGGCCGCCACCGCGTTACACTTGCCTAGTTCCGGTATGCTCACTCTTAGTGGTCCAAAACCCACGATTTCCATGTGCAATTATACCTCTTCTTTGAGTTCCCATCGTTACACTTTGAGATCTGGTAATCGGTTTCGTATTACAGTTCTTCCAGACAGAGCATGTGTTGTGTTTAAGGGGAGTCTAAGTGGGTCTCCTTTGGCCTGGTTAGCTCGTATCTCTTCTATTTCATCTGATCATAACGGGTTTTTGATTTCTGCAAAGAAAAGTACTGAAGGCCAAAGTGGTTATGACGCTGATACATGGTTGTCCTCTTTGGAGGTGAAGCCCACGGGATTGGATAATTCTCCGGCGCCCGTTCTCCCCGCAGATCTAGATTTGATGGAAATTCCAGAAGTGGGACCGAAAAACTCGACGAAGCTTGTGGAGCATGGCATTACTAGTGTGGCTGATCTCAAGAAACTCTACAAGGAAAAGGTATATATTTTAATTTTAATCAAATTATAAACACGGTTTTATGTTATGTTGGTTTCTCGCTTATTGTTTGATTGTTGATGTCGCATGACGTTAATCAATATATATAGCTACTTGACATGATAATGTGGTAATTAAATGTTCATCCCTCAAATTTTCCTTCTTTTGGCGACAGTTTTTTAGGAAACCGGATCGGATCATGATTGAGTATATAAAATCCTCTGTTGGCATTAAATATACAAACCACGCCAGGAGTATAACCAGCTTCATCAGAAAGAGCGTAAGTAAAGAAATGAAAGAAGGTGGTGTCAATTCTGAAACTGCGATCGTAAGTAAAGAAACTAAAGATGGTGGTGCCAATTCTGAAACTGCGATCGAAAGTAAAGAAACGAAAGATGGTGGTGCCAATGCTGAAATTGCGATTCCAGTTCCAACTACAGCCCCAAAGAAAAAGGTTAAAGAAGCTCGCCGCAAGCCGCAAGTGACTAATTGAATCATTATAAGATGCAACGTACACATGGTTTTGGTTGTTATATACATAATATATTATATATTATATTATCAAACCTCCTCGTTTAAGCTACTACTTGACACAGATAGTAGTGAACATGCAGGGTTGGATTTGGAATATTGTATTTGCTTGTATGATATGGAAATGCGAATAATATTAGCTTTTATGGTATATGACTATATGTGTCGTGAGTGACAGATGTGGTGGAGTCTTAAAAACGGATAGATAATATTGAAGTTGGTTATACAAAGTATATTTTGATGTGGAATAACCCTGATTGCTTCAAAAGAGCTACTTGATGCATATTAGAGCCTCTTAAATTAGGCTGCAACACCGTTTGAACTAAGAAATGTTTGTTGGGGTAATAAATCTTGACTGGATAAGAAATCATATTATTTGATTGTATATGTGACTGAATGTGGTGATTAATGAAAAATGATCATTTTACCTTGTTGTTATATATAGTGATGAATAAAATTGCTGAATAATTATAAAAACATACAGATTATCATACAAAATGTGAATTACACACAAGTCATTTAAAATTCCAAATAAAAGTTGTTATACAAAATGTAAATTAAACATAAATAATTTAATATCCAAACAAAAAGATAATTAAATTTAAAATAACATAATAAATTAATGTAAAGTAGGTGAAAATAGTTGATTTGCAATCTGATCACACACAACACGCATATATTAAACGGCTTCTGGACCCCATTCTATGCCTTGTATGTCTTCTCTATCAATTCTTCCACCTTAGACGTGTGGAGTAACCATAGTGTTCTCCTCAAATTTTGTAAACAAGTCATCTTCTATATTGTATTTCCTTATAAAATTATGGATCGCGACACAAGCAATGATTATGTCTCTTTGTACTGTAAAATGATAAGGAACCATTGTTTTAAGATAGGGAATCTCGCATTCAATACACCATAAGCACGCTTAATAATATTTTTAAGTTGTGCATGAGCATAATTGAACCTTTCCTCTCTAGTTAAAGGTCTGCCTCTTCGAAAATCGGCTAACCAATACCTAGTATTGCGGTATGGAGCCATAAACTCACAAGTGTTTATATATGCGACACCACAAAGGTAATATTTATCTGCAAATGAGTGTGACACATATTATATTAAAGAAGATAGATAATAAAAGTTATGTAAAGATTACAAACCTGGTGGAGGAAATGGAAATCCAGAAGTTAAATCGAATGCAACTTCCTTCAAAACTCTTAACTCATGTGATATACCATCTCATCCAGCCCAAACAAAGGTGAATATCATATCAAAATCACAAATTCCTATTACATTTTGAAAACATTCTCCTTTTCCTCTTTCCCTATAACGAGATTGTTGATCAACGGGTACAACCCCATATACAAGAGTTTCATCTAATGCACTTATTGCTCCAGAAAAAATATATTTTAACTGTCTATGTCGTTCTGCGTTATGTCTTGTTGGATTAGGAGTTGTTGGTACTATAATTTCTTTTGCAAAACACATCATTGTAGTTCGGACCTCTTGAAAACATTGATGAATTGTTTGTGTGGAGTGATAAAATTTTCCCTTAACTGCGCGAAAACGTTCATTATGTCGTATAACATGTAAGAAAATAGCCATCTTCTCTCCAATGCTTATTGTCCTACTAGGTTGCAACCAAATTTTTTTTGGTAAAATGGTTGCATAATAATGCAAATGCCTATTGTGTAAGACGCATCATATCGTAACATTGTGTAGGGTCTCCGTACATCAAGCCTTGCGTATATGCATTCCTGCCTGAATCGTTATCTCTAATTCTATGAATTCTGATTAGCCTGCGCCGGTTTGACCTCAACCAATAAATCACAAGTAAAAGAAAAGATACAACTTCACCATCCCAAGCCATATTTGACCTATTACAAGTAATTAGGTAACATGTTAAAGTAAAAAATATTCATGCACCAAAAAAATCTAGTAAACATCATCCAAAGTAACAAAAGTCATATAACAAAAAAAGTCATCAAACATTACCAAACTTTCAATATCCAATAACATATCATCCAAAGTACCATCCAAAAAAGTCATCTATAACACCCAAAGTTGGAAAGCCAAGGTGACTCGGCGAGTCTGGTTTGAACGAGGAAAACCCTAAAATCAGGACTTGGAGCCTATTTAAATGCCTCATTCTTTTCCCTAAGGTTCCTTTACTGCCTCTTTCACCTAGGACATCAAGCCCTAACCGTCACATCCATTGATTGAGCCATTTATTGACTTGGAAGGTGCATTAAAGTTTGAAGGAGGAAGAAAGAGCTTAGAGGAGCAAGAAAGGACTATAGATCTGGTATTTTGAGTTCATTCTGAGCATTTGGAGGTAATAAATAGTTCTTGGACCCCTCTTTGCACCTAGATCTATGTGTTGTTGTTGGAGTTTTTAGCCATGATGTTATTCTTTCAAGTTAGAAGCCAGATCTGAAGTTGCTACTTCAGTTCTAAGCATGTGATGGTCTTGAGAAGCACAAAGTATCAGCCCTTGAGTGGATCGTGAAGCCTCTTTGCCTTAAACCCTAGTTCATGGTGTATTTTGTCTAGATCTCCTTCTCTACACGTAAAGTTTGCAACTTTACGTGATGAATAGGCTTGGGAAGGGTAGATCTACAGTTTGGAGTCCATGCATGACTCAATAGCCCTCTGCATGTTGAGGAATTCGAATGGACTCGGAGAGTCCTTTGAGTGGACTCGACGAGTAGCATGAATTAGTGGAGCAACTCGGCGAGTGTGATGAACAGCTCGTCGAGTCAGATGAAGATTGCCTTGTACTCGGCGAGTCTGTTCTTGGACTCGGCGAGTCAGGTTGCGAAACCCCAAAACCTTCGAGTCAAGGCCCAGATTAGTGAGTTGAGTGGGGACTCAGTGATTTGGACAGGTCAGAACTCGGAAATCAGTGAATTCGGTGAGTCAATAGGCTGACTCAGCGAGTAGGGTCAACATGGAAGGTTGACTTTGGTCAGGACTTTGACTTTGATCGGAGTTGAGTTAATTGACTTTTAGAGGACTGTCAGGCTAAGTGTCGCTTTGTTATTGGTAGCTTGGAGAGTTAGAGGAGCAGCATTTCAGACGGTGGTTGGTTAGCAGTCCGAGGATTACCAGCAGAATTCAGCAGATCATGTGAGTTTCCTTCTAGTAGGAACGGGTTTAAGGCCACAATGCTGGCCCGTTCAGTTAGCAGTAGTTTTTGGACTTCGGTCCGATGCAGTAGTTAGTATGTTTGATGCCTTCGTGGCTCAGACAGAATTTATGTGTTATGTGTTATGTGTTATGTGTTCCGGGCTACGACCCGATGCAGTATGCAGTATATGTGTTCATGCTAGTTGATATGTTATGCTATGCTATGTTCAATCAGTTTCCGGACTTCGGTCCGATGCAGGGGGCAAGGCCCCAGTTAGCCCGGACTTCAGTCCGATGCAGGGGACAAGGTCCCAGTCATTTTCCGGACTTCGGTCCGATGCAGGGGGCAAGGCCCCAGTTAGCCCGGACTTCGGTCCGATGCAGGGGACAAGGTCCCAGTTAGCCCGGACTTCGGTCCGATGCAGGGGACAAGGTCCCAGTCAGTTTCTGGACTTCGGTCCGATGCAGGGGGCAAGGCCCCAGTTAGTCCGAACTTCGGTCCGATGCAGGGGACAAGGTCCCAGTCAGTTTCCGGACTTCGGTCCGATGCAGGGGGCAAGGCCCCAGTTAGCCCGAACTTCGGTCCGATGCAGGGGATAAGGTCGCAGTCAGTTTTCGGACTTCGGTCCGATGCAGGGGGCAAGGCCCCAGTTAGTCCGGACTTCGGTCCGATGCAGGGGACAAAGTCCCAGTCAGTTTCCGGACTTCGGTCCGATGCAGGGGGAAAGGCCCCAGTTAGTCCGGACCTCGGTCCGATGTAGTGGGCAAGGCCCAGTATGTGCTTTATATGTTATTGTATGGTATGTGGTAGTTTGGGGGAGCTCACTAAGCTTCGTGCTTATAGTTTCAGTTACTGGTTTCAGGTACTCAGTTTTCAAAAGAGGAGCTCGGAGAGATTGCAATGCACACACCATAGTCAGCTAGCCTGGGATGTTTTACTCTGATAATAAGTTTGTATTTCGAATTAATGCTACGAAATTATGTTATGATTTATGATACGATTTTATGAATATGATTTTAGTAATGTTTTAAAAAGAAAATTTTAGTCGTGATATTTGGGTCGTTACATCATCAAACATAACATCCAAACATTATGCAAGTAACAAAAAGTCATGCAACAAAAAAACTAGTATACATCATCAAAGGTAACCATACTTCCTACCCGCACTCATCACCCACGACTCACAACTTGTATGCGAAAGTTGTAACCAAACTTTCCTAACATCGGCACTTTCACCAAATAGCAAAAGAGCGGTCTTGTGTCTTTCATCTTCATCCCCTAATTCCATTTTGTTCAATTTCTCCATACATGCATCAATATCTTTATCCATTTCCTTTTTTCAATTCTTTCATTTTTTTCCACTAATAACCTTGCAAATTTGATAATCTCATCCTCAATTTCTAATGCCCTTTCATCTCTTTTTTTTTCCACCAACTCTTTTGTTTCCACTAACTTCCTTATTTTTTTGAACACCCTGAAGATTCTTCACTTGCACCTACGTGTTATGTTGAGGTTTCTATTAGAACATCATCATCATAATCATGGGCACTAAACTCTACTACATGACGATGGGGTGTAGAAGATGGCTCCCAACTTTGAAAGTCGATTGAGGTCGAGCCTCTAAATAGTTGGGTGCAAAGATCAGGGAATAGCAGCAGTTTAGTTTTTAATAACAACACGAACTTATTCAACTGTTTACAATTTGTATAAATATTAGTATTTGTTATAAAAATAATCATACTAGTATTTGTTATAAAAAGTATTACATTTCCCTCTTCCTTCCATTGTTCATCATTCAGATTAAATTTATTTTATATAGAATCATATATATTACTGGTTTTGTTTTTCAGTTTCACCCAAGCAACATATTTTCATTTGTAGTAGTCAAAGTGGTTTCTCATTTGCTTCTAATCAACCTCTTTACCGTGTTCGTTTATCAATTTTTCGCGTATTGTCTTCCATGAACTTGCCTTAAGCCCAGAACCCTCATGACCATGAGTGGTTAGTTCATGGATAGAAGCATCAAGAAAAGTTTTATCCACACCCTCGTTCCAAACCAACATTCTAAAACATAAATAACAAGCTAACACAAATATCTAAACATAAAACAATTTTCTACCAATGAGATCAACATAATCCTAAATAACAATAGCACAATCAAAGTCAACAACTTTCTATCAATTTCATAGCTTATACATATACAATTTGAGATTTCATAAGATTAGACCATATGACTATACAAATATATATATATATATATATATATATATATATATATATATATATATATATATATATATATATATATGATTTCATAACATTTGAGCATAGATTATATACAAAAAAAAAATTGATTTCATAACATTAGAACATAGATTATACACCCAAAAAAATTAGATTTCATAGATTATACAAAGAAAAAAAATTGATTTCATAATCTGTACATACATAAATTGGGAATTCTTAACATGAGAGCATTAGAAGAAACAACATATCTGATTTCATAGATTATACACAAAAAAAATTTCTGATTTCATAATTGATTTCATACATTATACACATTTTTAGATTTCAGAGATTATACATACACAATTTTAGTTAGAGCAAAAAGGATTCGAATTTCAGATATTATACGCTAACATTTTTTGATTTCCTAATATATTTAAAATATTTTCGGATTTCACAGCTTACCTGTGTTGACGATTCTGGCTAGAGAAGACGGGACGATTCTGGCCGGAAAAGACATACGGACCATGGATGGAAGGAGTGAAAATGTTCGGATGATGGAAGAAGACGGCGACTGAAAGAAGAAGGTGACGATCTTGCGGTGATTGGGACCTGTCGAATGGGAGCTGTAAGGCGAGGCTGTCATTTTTCTTTTAGGTCATAAAGGGAAGAATAGATCGGGGTAGGGAGGTCTTTTTTTCCAGTCAGATCGGCCTTGAAAGCTGACTAATTCAGCCAGACATGCTAACCGAATCAACACACATCAAACAACTTCCGTCTAACCGAGTCAGCCGAAATCGCTGGCTCAGACCGGTCAGACGGGTATCAAATGGAGCCTAAGCTTCAACTGAATTTGAAAATTTCACTCAAAGCATATAAGGTCGCATATAACACTCGTTTTGTTGCAACACTTTGTTTTAATTTTTTTTTTCAAAAATAAAAAATTTGTAGTCTTAAAACCATATTGCAGAAGAATATGTCGACTAAATGTCTCATCTCTACAAAAAAGTTGTTCTTCTTTGAAGTTTGCAAACTAATAAATGATATTAAAACACATTGATCATAAATAATGAAACAAACAAACAGGGCATAACCAAGAATTAAGAATAACGGGGGCTGACACCCTCACATCGTAATAATATATTAAAATATAATGTTATATCAGACTAAAGTAAACCGAATAAACCTAACAATTCAATCCTCTTCATCCGGTAACACTCATTTAACCGCTTACAAATGTCTATGTGGACTATACATGGTGAGGTGGATGTGAGTCATTAAAGAGAGTCAAATATAAAGCTCATACGTACATAGAAGAGTTTCATTCACTCGTGCCCTAAAGTTGAATTAGGCAGAAATTGAAGCAGGAGGAGGATCCATAATCTTCATCTTCATCTTCTGTAGGAAGCAAATCGAAGAGGATGAATCGTCTAAGAAGTAGATGCTATTGTGGTGATCCTGTTGGAAGATGGACTTCATGGACTACGTTAAACTCAGAAAGAAGGTTTATAGGCTGCCAAAATTACCACGATGAACTTAAAGACTGCAAATACTTTCATTGGGTGGATCCTTCTCTACCAAACCAGTGGTATACAAATCTCTTACTAGAATTTCACAACAATGGTAATTTAGATAACAATGCAATATTCGGGGAGTTTGGACAACAACAAGTCATAGGGAACTTTTTTTAGAGGCATTGTCGAACAACCAGTTGCACAACAACCCATGGAAGGAGTGTACATTCATCAACTGAATAGAAATGATGGTGGAAGATGGAAATCATTGTTTTATGTGTTTATGGTTTTTTTTTTTGGTGATGTTGAAGGATTGGTAGGATAGGCAGAAAATTGACGGGAAGTAGTGTTTTGGTTGTGTCTGTTTGGCTAGTATTAATGTGTTTGAGTTATGTATGTTGGGGTACTATCACTGTCTTTTGGAATATGTATTATGTTGTGTCCCATTATTTAATGAAATGACTTAACAAGTTTATGTTTATGTAGGACTTATAAGTGTTTCTAGAGTAATCATGAATGAATGGAATCAATTAGCAATAAATAGAATCAATTAACAATGAATGGAATCAGTCATAAATGGAATGCTTAATGAATTGAATCAATAAACAAAGGAATTAGTGGTGAATTGAATGAATAAACAATGGCATTAGAAATGATTGGAATCATTTGTGGCCGGAGTCAAGTATGGATGTAATTAAACAAAGTTGGAATTCCATTTAACTAAACAATGTAATCATGATTAAACAACTGGAATGAAATTAACAACATACACATATACAATATAATCAACTTAAACACAGATAAACCATTTTTATCATAGAACATGTAATATTAACCAAAAGTCCAAAACCATAATCAACGGGCTCAATGCCTAAAGTTTGATGGCAATAAACAAAAGGGGCTATTAACAAAAAGGGTTATCTATAGTTTCCTAAAGCCAAAACAAATTACATGTTATTAACAAAAGCATGGGTTAGAAACACACTAATCTAAGCTAAGTGGGTTGGATGAACTCACCCCCTTCCGATTTTTGACAATCACGACTTTCTTCAACTGTATTTCTGTTATCCTCTCAGAAGGCTTCCGTATTCTCATTTTTGGCATCCTCCTTCTATTATCCTCTTGATGCATATCCTCCACACCCAAGGCCTCTTGATCCATCCCCTCTATACCCATGTCATATTTATTGATTCCCTCCTGAGCCATACCATGTATACCCCTTCCATCTGCATTGATTCCGTCATTGTTCATGTCCTCTTGATCCATGCCCTCATGATCCATCACCTCTAGACCCATATCATGTTGATCCATGTCATCCTCACCCATATCATGTTGATCTATGTCCTCCTCACCCATACCCTCTTGATCCATCACTTTAGCTCCAGATGGTTGACTTTCAGAGACTGTTTCTATAGTTATGACTAGGAAATCCAAAAGCCTGTAACAAGCATAACAAAATATTGTTAGGGAAATTAAACATCAGAAATTAAACATTAGAAAGCATACTTGTGATATATCAATCTCTACATGTACTTATTTTAAACCTTTAAATTCATTTAATTCTTCTTCATTGATTCCAAAACAGTCCAAAATCTCCTCTGTAGTGTAATTTGACTCTCTCATGACTTGAATATGACTCTTTACATCTACTCTAACTTTATTGTTAACTTCAGGACTCACCACTTCAAGACTGAGTTCATTGTCAATAGTAGGAGTAACTTCATTTTAACTCTCAACATTTGGAAACTTAGAAGTTCCCTCTCCAGAAGTTTCATTCACTCTTCCACCACATCCCATACACCACCTATTTTGCCTCTTCCACCAGATCCCCTGTCGCCAACTCTATTGCTTCTTCCACCAGATCCACTACCCCCACCTCTATTTCCTCCTCTATCACCTATTCTCTTCTACATCCTATCCATATAGTTAAATCAGGATCCAACATGGGCCTGCCTATTTTCTTTTTGGGTTTTGGTTCTGGGACAACCTTTAGATTTTTGCAAGCTGTTTTATTATGTCCCCTTTGAAGACCATTCTTGCAATGTACAGTTCTTCCCTTGTAAGACACCTGGTGGTACTTATCCTCATGTTCGTAGTCATGTCTCCTTCTTTTAACATTGGGTCTTCCTGACATTCTCCTTACTGTAGGCTGTAGGGGATTAGCAAAGTTAGTAACTTCCCACAAATTACATCCATTAACTGGAAGTATGTTAGATTGGTATGTATCCATGTAGTTACTCTTGCTAAATCAAGTACTAATGAATTCCTTTAGATCTTGGTTGGTGTATAAAATTGCTACATGTGCATGCACACAAGGTATCCCTGATATCTCCTACAGTCTGCAGTTGTACTAATGACGTACCAAGTTAACTCCATAACTTTGAAAGCTATTCCTAATTTCATATGTATTTGCAATACTTGGAACTACATACCAAAACCTGAAAATATAAACACTTAGTTAGTATAAATACTCAATTAAAAACTAACATTTAAATATGTAATGCAATTTATACCTTATATCCTCACCAAATTCCTCCATCTCCAGAAGTGCTGCTTCACACAATCACCATCCCATTTTTGTGCTTCCTCTTTTAAGTTGTAGAACCTTTCCATCATGTAGAGTCTTATTTCTTTAATCATAGCCAAGAGAGGCTTCTTTCTAGCATCTACAATGATTGCATTAATGAAAAAACCCAAAAAGACATGAAAAACATTTCGTTTTCAAACTCATTTATCAAACATAAATATCCTTGTCATAGTGTAAAATCATAAAACATATATCTCGAAAACTCATGAAATCTGATAAACATATAACAGCCTCATAACAAATATAAGAGAAAACTCCCAGGCTAATCGACGGTGGTGTGTGTGTGTGTTGTGCTCTCAGCTCGAGCTCTTCCCTTTACTGGCTGAAGTACCTGAAACCAAAACTAAAACTGTAAGCACGAAGCTTAGTGAGCTCCCCCAAACTAGCACATACCCTACAAAACATATATAGCAAATAACATAACTTTGGGACTACTCCCACTGCATCGGGACGAATCCCGACATCGGACTCCTATCCGGCATCAGGCTCACCTCGGCATCTGACCGCATCGGACATCGGGCTCACCTCAGCATCAGGATTACCTCGACGTATACACGTCATATCATATATCATAAACACATACATAATCCTATAATCTGCATCGGGCTTGCCCCGACATCGGACCGAAGCCCGGAACAAATACATATAACACATAAACTAGCATATATCGGGTTTTTCCTCGAAATACATAATACATGGCGTATTGACTGACGTACATTAGGCTTGCCCCGACATCGGGCTTACCCCGAAACACATAACATATAACACATAAATATGCATGAATCACAAAGACATCAAGCACACATAACTACTTCTCTGGACCACCCCGGCATCGGACCAAAGTCCGGAAACGTATAAACTGCATCGGGTTAACCCCGGCGTCGGGCTAACCCCGACATAGACTAATTAAACGGGCTGGCATTGGTGCCTTAGATCCGTTCCTACTAGAGGAAAACTCACCTCGTAAAGCTGACTATGAAATCTCGCGGTGAGGAATATCCGGTAACTGCCTCGGCATCTCTCCGGCTATGAAAACACAATAATACATAGTCAATATCTGAAACTCCTTCCTAGGGTAAAATGAGCATTTTACACCTAATCAAAGTCAATGCTCTGGTTAAAGTCAAGTCAAGGTCAACCCCAATCAACTCAACTCGTCGAGTCATCTTCCTATTCGATGAGTCTCTGAAATGTTCTAACTCGTGGTCTACCGAGTCAACTCGTCGAGCCCTTTCACTGACTCGTTGAGTTCTGTCTGCAATAATCATCGAGACATTTCAACTCTACTCGTCGATTTCCTCCTTGGACTCGTCAATTCCTTTAGCTCCCTGGTCCTAATCTTTTTCAACTTACTGACTCATTCCCCCTCCTTCTCAGCTTAATGGTCTCACTCATAACTAGCAAAGATCTGGGGACTCAACCCGGCTCGCTGAGTCCGTAGAACAACTTAGTTAGTTCCTTACATGCTCAATCCATACAGTTGATTCTAATTATTCCAATGCTTCTAAATCATAGATATGGACTCCTTAGACTAGCATTATACGTAAAGTTGCTAACTTTACGTTCATGCATGATGTTATGAAGCTAAAACACTTATTTCAAGCCAAAATGAAGGCCTACACCATATCATGGAGTCATGGCTAGATAAAGGTGGCAACAGTGACCTCCCTATTTTCACGGCCAGAAAATACCAATTTTGTTTATTCTTTATAAAAATCAGAGTATCTCTTTTAATAAAAATGTTGTGGAATTTGTTCCCAGTAAAACATGATAAATACGTTATCAAAGCATTTCCGAAGAAAATTATTTTTATTCATTATAAAACATTTGCGATGTCATCGTCAATACAGAAACATAAGCATAAACAGAACTTACATTCATTATCACTAGTAATTTATCTCCTTAATCTCTCAGTGTAATGTGAATTCATATCAACACCTGTGATATAAATAAACTAAGTCAGTCAAGTTGGGAAACCTGGTGAGTACATAGGGTTTTTAACCCACAATAAATAAGTTTATTAGCTTTATCAAACCAAACAAACCCGATTACCTGTTCCCATTATCCTCACTTTACGTCCCTAAAACATCTAACACAAGGGACCTAGTCTAAGGACTTTTATCGGGGTGACAACACATGCTTCAGGGGTTCCTCAGCAATTAATATCAAATAAGGCAACCATGTGGGGGATGGAGTACTTTTCTTGAGCACACAGTTCAAATAAATACCTACAGGTTGCGAGCTTGCTAGCGTTCCACTGGACTATCTAGAATAGTGTGTGGTCATCATCTATACTCCGCTAGTTAACTGGATCATCAATAACATCTATATCGAGGCCTCTCATTATTTTATTTGGTCACACAACAACTATTACATCTACCCATGTTTTACCCAACACATTTTGTAGATATAAAATACATATACATTTTAAATCATTTAAAACATATATAAAAATCGTTCATCCAACATAGAAAGCAAGTATTCAAACATAATGCACACATAGCACGTAATTTATATTAAAATACTTCATATCTTTGTGTAAGATGAAAGGGACTATGCACTCACCTGAAAAGGTGGTGATTCCGAACTCAGACAGCGCTTCGTTTCTTAAAAATAATTTCCTTCGACGAAACCTAGTATTAGTACCACTAGAGTTTAGTTTATAATTTGCCGAGACTAATTAATAGTCTAGCTATTATTACTATTGTATAAGCATTAACCAATACTTATAGAACCCATAATAATAGCCCAAGTACTTATTATAAGTTCCTAATAACGTTACTATAATTAAATAGAAGCTATATTAAAAATAGCGTAGGCGTATGTCACTTACAGCGGATTTTATAGAAAACCAGGCTTTGCTTGGAGCAGCGTTCCCGAGCCGAAAATCTCTTCTTCTTGGAGCCATCGAGCACTCCGGGGCTTCCACCTCGTGCTAGGGAGGTTCCCTAGGTTTCTCGGGGGGTTTCAGGGCTAGAGAGAGGTTCTAGAGAGAGAGTAAAGAGAAGAAAGAATGGGAAAGGTGTGAAGAAAATGAGGGTGAGAGAGGTTTTATTTATAGGGTGAAATATGGTTGAACTTGGTGCCACATGTCACCATCTGGTGGCAAGACTTAGGGAGAAAGCAATGGCTAAGATTGTGCCACGTCACCCATTTTCGCACAACACACTTCCGACTTCTAAAATCCGTAACTTTTGACATATGAGCTCCGTTTTTGACATTCTTTATATTCATGCATAGGTAAAAATAAGATCTACAACTTTCATTTTGACTCTGTTAGCTAATTCACGACAGATCTTAAATTTAAAAGTACGAGGAGATTATAATGTTAAATGTCCGCGTAAAATTCATAACTTCTACATACGGACTCCATTTTCGTCTGTCTTTTTACTGTTGAGTTCTTATTAATGAGATATTCAATCCTTATTTAGGTCGCGTAGGCCAAAAACCGCTCGATCTAAATTTCGAGTTTCGGGTTGTGCACTTCTAAGCCAAATCTTAGAAAATTCATAACCTCCTCATACGAAGTCAGATTTAGGCGTTGTTTTTTAGTATGTTCTCGGTTTAACATATACTAAAACTTTTGTTTAGATTACTAAGGCTAGAAAGTCCTCTATCGTAAATTCACTATTTACGTCTCCCGATGCCGTGTTGGTTTTGCTGTAAAACTTCGACGGACCATAACTTCTTCGTTATAACTCGGATTTCGGCATATTTATATGTACGAAACCCTTGTAACATATAATACAACTTGGTTAAGATTAATCCTTCTAAATAATATTTCATCAAAAACTCATTTTTGACGCTCATTGTCTCTAAATTGACTAGCCCGGATCTGCGGACGTTACAACAACTTTGAGCTTCTAGAGCTCAGAAATGTCCAAATCTGAAGTCCTTTCATTCCGTAAAGGACCCATAAAGTGGAAATAACAAGTCTATAAGAAGAATTAAGTGAATGGAAACAAAGGTACAAGCTTTATACCTTCAAAGGTTCTGAAATGCAACACTAGCTATGGATCTACAACCTATTCTTGAATCACCAAGGGTTTCCTTCTTCTAGCTTCAAAACACACAAAAAGGCAAGAAAAGCTTAAGAACACTCAATAGCTACTTAGGGTTTCAAGGTCAGGGAGTCGAGGTAATGGATGATGGGATGGGGGCCTGAAAAGATGCTTAAATAGGGTGCAAACCCTGAGAATTAGGGTTTCCTCCTGATGGACCTACTCGCTGAGTCCATGCTCCGACTCGTCGAATAGACCACTTAAACCCTATGATCAAGTTGGCATGTACTCGACGAGTTAGGGCTACCAACTCATCGAGTAGCTCTTACAAAATGAACATTTAATGGATTAAATAGGTACCAGGAACGGGGCATTACAATTCTCCCCCACTTGTCTTAAACTTCGTCCTCAAAGTCTGTTGAACCTGAAAACAACTCCAAGTAGTGCTCCCTCATCTCCTCCTCGGGCTCCCATGTCCACTCAGAACCCTTCCGGTGTTTCCACTACACCTTCACTAACTCTTCTTTCTTGTTCCTCAACTCCTTTATCTTACGATCTAAAATTTCCACTAGTCTCTCGATGTAGTTCAGGCTATCATCAACTTGTATGTCCTCAAGAGGTATCACTGTTGAATCATCCACTAAGCACTTCCGCAACTGAGAAAGATGGAACGTGTTATGGACCTAGCTGAGCTCTGATGGAAGATCTAACTGATACGCAACCGGACCCACTCGGGCCAAAACCCTAAATGGACCAATGAACCTGGGGCCCAGCTTGCCCCGCTTCCAAAACCGGATAACACCCTTCCAGGGTGACACTTTCAGAAGGACCAAATCGCCCACCTGAAACTCCAAGTCCGAATTCCTCTTGTTAGCATAACTCTTCTATTAGCTCTGAGCAGTCTGGAGCCTGCTTCGGACTTGCTGAGTCCACTCCATGATCCTTAGTACT